AAGGGATTTTTAAAGATCTTTCAATATTTTGGGGCTTTTCTCGAGTTTTTGGAAAATATTTTACATTTCTGGGATTTTTTTAAGCGTTTTTAAGTTTCTTAAACTTTTATTTCCTGGTTTTTAAAAGATTTCTCATTTTTTTATATTTTTGGGGGATTTTAAAGTATTTTCTGGCTTTTTTGACTTTATTTAAAGTTTTTATTGGAACTTTTGGACTTTTTTAAACGTTTAAAAATATTTCTTATTTTACCAGTTCTTTTTAAGATTTGGAGGGATTTTTACTTTTTCACCAGGTTTTAAATTTTTTTTCTCCAATTTTTGATTCTTTAAAGTTTTTTTATTTAATTTTTAGTTTACTGGGTTTTTTTAGTATTTTGATGTTTTTGTCATTTTTTATTTTCTTTTTAATTCTTCCAAGTTTTCAAGGTTTTCTATTTTTTGAGATTTTTGCATATTTTAAAGCTTCTAAAATCTTCTTGATTTATTAACTTTTTTTTTCTTTGCCTTTTTTTTTTTTTTTAGATTTGGGATGTTTTTTCAGGGTTTTCTTTTTTTTAGATTTTAATTTTTTTTTCCACATTTTCTTGAATTTTTATATCTTTGGAACTCTTTTTAAACGTTTTAATTTTTTTTTAATTTCCAGAATTGTTTGGAGCTTTTCTTCCTTTATTGTTTTTTAACTTTTTAAAGAAATTATTCTATTTTTGAGGGATTTTGAGGTTCTTTTAAAATTTTATTTAAAGTGGGCTTTCATTTCTGTGGCAATATTTTTTATATGTTCTGGATTTTTTGGAGTTTTTTGTAATTTTTGATAGTTTTTTATTTGGGCCGTGAAGATGGAGGAACCAAAATCCAGAATTAATTTGCTTCCCATTAAGAAAATCTTTGGAGTCACTTCACTTTCTATTACAGGAACAATAATAAACCCCTTTGGATTTGGTATAATTTCTATTAATAAAATAAAAACAAAATAAAATCAAACCCCCTCCCGAGTCTGTTCACTTTTTATTAAGGAAATTTTTTAAAAACCCTCAAGTCGGTTCCTTTCTGTTACAAAAATAAACCAACAAATTTTGGCGTCGCTTTCATTTGTGTCGAGAAAATTGAAAAACAAACAAAAAAAGTCACTTTAGAGTACAAAAATAAACCAACCCCCCCCTCCCGAGTCCCGTCAGTTTTTATTAAAATAATTCAAATTAAAGCTCGAAAATTCAAAAAATTGGCAGGGTAAGTTCATTTTCTATTGAGAAAATAATAAAATTACACAATCGGGGTCAAATTGGCTCCATATTAATAAAAGTTATGAAAAATCCACGGGTTTAAATGTGATTTTTCTGTCTTTTCCATGAAAACCGAAGTGGGGTTGGCACGTGGGGTGTGGGGGCAGCAGGATTGGGGCTCTTGGGGCCATCCCGAACCACAGGAGAGGGACGAGGAGCAAAAACATCCAAAAATGTGATTTTTTTATAGATGG